TAACTTAAAGCATAATGGTTAATAACTATCAGAGAAGGTATTAACAATCAATATACATTAAATCCTTGTGTTGCACTAAGAAAATATGTTGATATTACCTGCTGTGATGGTTGTTGATTGTTGCATTTTAAATGGGTAATGATTGCCATTTCAGTTATCAATACATATTTAAAAAATGAGAGTAATTTAATAATTGAATGAGTAAAGTTTTTTACAATGAGGTCTCTAAACAACCCAAATTAATTTGAATATTGCAAAAAAAAATTGTATTTAACTTTAATACAAATTTTCCAAAAGTTAAAGTAAACTCTTCTTATAACTCTTATATTTAACACATAAAGTGATATACTCCCTCCGATTTTTAATATAAGAATTAATTTGAGTTTTAATTTAATTTTAAACATAAGATCTCAATTTATTTTGTTTCTCATATTTATCTTTTTTAAAAAAAATAATCCTTGTAGTAATTGTATATGTCAAATATTTCATCAAATAACACTTGATTAACAAAGATATTTTAGGAAAGACAACACTTATTTATTATAAATAACTAACTTAACTAATTTTTTCTGATTCACTCAAATTAGTTAACTAACTCTTATATTAAGTATCGAAGGAAGTAGTAAATTATAGTACCTTCTGTCCTTAATATAAGACCTTATTTGAATTTTATTTTGGTCTTAAATAAAATACCTTAATCTATTTTGTCTCTCATGTTTATACATTTTTTTTCAATATAGTCCTTCTAACAATAATAATTCTAGTTAACACATTTAATTAGCAAGAATATTTTAGGAAAGAAAACACCCATTTATTATAAATAATTAATTTAACTTTTTTTTTAATTTTTTCAAATCAATTAATTAGCTCTTATAATTAAAATCGGAGTCAGTATCATTCATGAACCGTCCGTTTAAAATATTCACGAGGGAAAACCCTAGCGGCGAAGACTGTGTATTCACGTGATATACACGTGACTATGATTATGGAAGTACTGATCCGTGGGCGCCGCAATGCGCAATCACGCTATCCACACTGAACTCCCAATGCATGCGCGATAGCCGTCCGATCTCTTACCACGTCATCGATTCGTGTGAATTCTCATTTCGACGGCTGAGATCAGTGCTGCAGAGCTAACTGGTGAACCGAAGGAAGGAGCTGGAATCATCGCTGTGTCCCTCCTATCCTCCTTCCTTGCTCGATTCTCGATTGGTTTTCGTTTCTTCCCGGGAAATTCGGATTTTTCTCGAGAAAGTGGTGTGGTTTTCCTAGTTCTTTTGATTTGGAGATGAAGACTACGGAAGAATTGAAGGAACACGTGGCCGAAAACGAGGTCACGGTTCGGGATGAAGAAGGTGACTTTGAGGAAGAAGATGGCGAGGATGACTCCGAGGATGAAGTAGAAGAAGGAGGTGATGACGACGAGGATGAGGATGATGACGATGACGACGAAGACAATGACGTTGATGATGAGGATGAAGATGAAGAAGATGATGACGACGCTCCGGACGGCGACGATGACGAAGATGAAGATGATGACGAAGGAGGTGATGTCGCACAACACGGTGATGCTGGTGACGACGACGACGACGACGACAACGACGGTGAGGACGACGACGAGGAGGGCGAGGAAGAGGTAATTGACTTAGATTTGCTTTCCTACCTGCCTAGTTTTGTAGAACTAATTAACACTGAGGAATTTGCAAATCTGAAATATTTACTATAATTCATTTGATCGGCTTATCTTCTTTTCATATGTTTTAGTTGTTTGGTCCCTCTGAAGTATCCTGTCATGTCGACTCCAAGCTACCAATTGAAAATCGCAAAAATGAAAAAAGCAAAACGGAATTCGTTTTAGCTTATCTCGACAACCATTTTCAATGACAAATCCTGGTTAGATCTTATAAGAAGCTGTCTGTGCAACAAATTTCTTTTCTGAAACTGTTGCAGCTTCAATTTCAGTGTGCTTTCGTTGTTCGTTTCTCCCTTAAATTGATGGGAGAAGGACTAATCCTGTTTCTGCCGTGTCCTTTTCCTTCGTTATTCTCAATCTTCTCGGTTATTTATCTTGGCAAGTTATAATTCCGGTGCTGATCTAAAAGGGGGGAGAGAGAGCCTATAGTTATAGCTTTTGAGTTTTGACCATTTGAGATTTTTGAATTTTCATAAATTACGTCTTAAGGGTTCTCAATACCCATATATTTGCATTAAAAAAAATTCAAAATCCATTTATTCTGCATTATTCAGAGGCTGGATACATCAATAGTGTACTGGTATGGTCACCTGAATTTTTGTATACGTTTTATTCATATTTTTTATGGGGTTTGAGAAATAAGAATCATGTAATTGGACTGATTCTAAAATTGCATATATAATCGTGTCTTGCTTAATTGTCCCCTGATTGATCTGACTGAGCCAGTGAACTTGAAAAATGAATACATGTTAAATTTGAAGTTTTCTTGTCCATATTTTATGTGAGCTTTCATTTTGTATTTTCTGGCCTATCTGCTTTTACTCTTCATCCACTTCAACTTTCCATTTGATTATTCTAGTTTATTTTGTTGTCTTCCCCTCGTTAAATTACCCTAGTCTTTGTAACACTTGAAATTTTTTAGGAGGATTTGGGGACAGAGTACCTTGTTCGCCCCGTAGGCAATGCCGAGGAAGAGGAAGCATCAAGTGATTTTGAGCCTGAGGAGAATGGTGAGGAGGAAGATGAAGTTCATGATGAGGACGAGGAGGAAGGTAAGAAGGCTGAGATTCCATCAAAAAGAAAGAGGTCCGACAAGGATGATTCAGATGACGACGGTGACGGTGGAGAAGATGATGACAGACCCTCTAAGCGATAGGGGTTAGGACCACGCTTAAACTCAAATGGATTAGCTCTCCAAACAATAGGTCAAATATATTGCCCTCTTTCTAAACACTTTCTCCATAGATAGTATAGCATGCTTGGTGGGATTTTTTTTTTTTTTTTTTAAAAAACTATTCTGTATTATTATAATGCATTACTTTTAGGTTTACTAGTATTGTCTGTTGGACTAGTCTGGTGAATGTGATCTATGGAGAACTCTGTTGAAGTACTGGTAAAGATTGTGTTGAACTTGAGTTCTATTTGATAGGATTTTAGATGGAGTCCTTGTGTAATACAATTTCTGACACACTGAAATTGTGGGTAGAATTTCTTCTGGATTGATATGATTGGTTGTTCATCTCATATCTACAAGACTTTGAATTTTCTTTTTGCAAAAGTGGTTTTGTCGGTTAATTGAATACTTTCTGTGTTGTGGCATTTACTATGTGACGGCAAAAGGTTAAAAATGATTGACTTGTTTGGTGTAGGGAACATTTAGGGCTTGCAGTGCTCACTTTTGGTACTTTTCCTTGTAAGTAGCACTCACGGGACATATAATCTAAGCTTGTTTACTAAAATCAAAGCTCGAAATGGCTGATATATGATCAATATCGTTATTGCCTTAGTGTTACCCGGGGCGTCAATGGGCTTTCTGGTGGGTTTCTAAGTTCTTCAATCCTGCAGGCGAAGCAATTCTTTTTCTGCTCTTAAGAATGGGCCTCGCATCAAATTGTTGATTTTTTCATTTAACTCGTATGTCTATTATCCTTTTTAAATTTTAACTCACAACTTTATATTTAAGAAAAATTTAAAGGGAGGGGCATAATGCTGTTGAGTTATAAGGCTCCCACATCAAGTTGACTTGGAGTCTTGGATAAAAATATAATGTAAAGGGGGTCGATAATGCATCTCTCTAAAATTTAAGTTTTTTTTTTTTTTTTGCTTTACTTTCTGATTTTGAATGCTCCATTTATACAAGTCACTTCAATCATTTTGGTCAACACACGGGAGAAAATCTAGTATATTATACCATTTCTTAATAAGCTTATCGTAAATTAAAATATGAAAACTAAGAAGTTTTATTCTTTTCTAGCCATGTTTTGAAACTTCACGTCATTTCAACCATTATGAGTTTATTTGGAACAGTTTATAAATAATTTATAAAGAATTTTTTAATAGTAATTTACGAAATACGAGATTATTTTTACGAGATTATTTTGTTTTGGTTTACATAAAACGTGTTTATAAGGGGTTTTTACCGCTATCCCAAACAGGCATTACGTCTTTATGTCTTTGGTGCTCGTAACAAAAATTAAGGAAATTATGCTTTTCAAAGGTCTCTACTGTTTAAATCAGTTTGAAGAGAGTTAAATAAGTAGAATTACAAGCCAAAGATATGCTTGATCTGGGATTTATTCTTTATTTTTGCATAAGAAAGCCTGCCGAAGTGTCATTATCCTGGGCAGTCTTCCTTTTTTAGGTTTTTTCAGATATGATATCTAGATCCAATTTGAAATAACTCGTGTGACGATCTTTTCTGCATTCATACAGACTTGGAAAACTTATACCTAAGCAGCTAAGTATCTAGTTTAGTGCGATAAATTAAAAAAAATCAATAAATTAATATTTTGAAGAAAAAAAAACCATACGCCCTTGATATTCATGATATATTTTGCATGTTCAACAAAAATAACATACAAAGCACTATACAAGTGTTAATTAATTAATTTTTTTTCACTATACATAAACATTCTTTTATAAAAGGAAACTCTATTTAAAATATTATTAGGTATTAAATATGAACAGAGATTCAAATCTTGGCTTAGTACTTTGTGAGAAACTAACCCTTTCAACTAAGTCTAACTTTTTTTTAATATTAATCGATCCTTATATAAAAAAGGAACGAAAAAGCAAAACCCCCTTCTGATGGCCCAGCGACCAACTTCTCAAGTACAACACAGTAAATAACTAACTAATTTACCAATCTCTCAAGCAGCATCCTCAATCTGAGCTAGAATGCGTGGACATATTAAAATTTAAGGCAGAGATCAAGAATACAGAATAAAGAATTTTTTTTTTAAAAAAAAGATAAAACTATTATTACCCCAAAAAAGAAGATAAAACTATGATTTGAAATGACTCTTGCTTGGTATGATCCTGGGAATAATCAACACTGATGAACAGGATCAATTATCATCCTCATCGTTACAGTTTACGCACACAAGTACTCTATCATCAAATACCTAGATGCTCAAAAAGAAAATTGTGAATATTATCTCAAGGTATTATGTGGCAAATCACATAACCTTGAGCAAACCATCTAAGTAAAATTGTATAACTGAAGAAACGTCAATCAAAGATCTAGTTGTTCATTCCATCTACTTAAGACTGATTTCATTACATGATAATATAAATAAACTAAAGAAACTACAACGTTTGAAAAAGCCAGCATCATGAAAACTGACTAGAAATGCAATGGTACAAAAGCATCGTGACAAGCAGTGGCCGCCAAAATACCTTCTCGTGAGACATTCCCACTTGGGAGTTGGCTCTCCATCAAAATATATGAACAATGTCATATGCAAATCTTCGTTATGTCAAGGAAGAACATAAACAATAGCAACAATATGGTCATTAGAGGAAGGGAAGTTTAGAAATTTTGGCTGAATTGAGTTTTATTATAGAAAACGTCACTAATACCCACACAACCCATACAAAACATAGCACAAGTTGAATGGGCTTTCTTGTCAATGAAGACAACATGGCAACTTAACGAGACACCAAGGTGCGGCTCCTTTTTACATGGTATTGGAGTAGCATCTGCTTGGTAGTTATGAGAGACAATTTTTTCTACCAAATGAATATGAAGGGCGGAGCTTCCTGCATAGGTATTGTTTATTTTGGCTAAGTAATGATATTATTTTGCTGGAAAGTTTTAATTTTGATTATCATGTTTTCATCAAATATGATCACATAATTTTCTTTTCTAAGGCTGCAGTACATGCACATGGCAATTATACCATGATGGCACTGGAATCGGGCTATGGCTGCCCAAGGCCAAGGGCATTTGTAATTCGGGAAAATGCATAACTCTCCTTGAACTATAGTCTATAACAGCTTTGATTCATGGACCCAAAAATAAATGCCATAAAAAGGTGAAAACATTACATGTCAAACAAAATTTTCCAAACCAAGCGATTGTCACATGATAACTCACGTGTCCTGTTACAATCACAGGGCTCTGACACATTAATGTTTTCTCTTGCACTGAGAGTTTTGATTGTAATGTGTTATATTTGAAAGTTTCTAACCAAGGTCGTAATCAGGCTATATATATGATGAGTTGCGTATGGTTTCCCCTTGTAACCCATAATACAAAACAAGTTTTAGTTATTCAAATATGGAGCCATACTTTACCAAGTATTATCGATGAGAAGGATACGTCCAGAACAGCACGAAGGACTGCAGAAAGTACCAAGGGAAAAATGTCAAAACAAGGCAAACAATGCACATGAGAGGAGGGTGGGGAAGGGGGTTAAGGAAGAGCACTCATAACCGGATAGAAAAAGATATATCAAAATCATCATTTGCTGTATGGTGAAGTGGTCAAGTCAGCTATTTGATAAAAATACAAAGATTGTAGTTCTCAAGTGGTCAAGTCATCATTTCGGTTGTAATTTACCAAGAATTTTCAGCTAAAACTCAAAGGTTTTTTTCAAAAAGAAAATCACAGACATAAACCAATCATCAGAGACAGTATATCCTTGATATATTGGTTTTTCTGTTTTCTTTTTTGGAGGATTATATTCTCTCTTCGCCTACTTTTAACTTTCTACATGGGCATATTCTTCAACATAGAAATAAAGACCTCATACAAAAAAATTATGCTAAGATAGAAAGAGATCACAAGAAATTATACCATTAGACCACCAAAAAAGCCATCAAGTAACACCCGGTTCCAGGAGTCAAAGTATGAGTGGATTGAAAATTTAGCTTTTGCTATGAGCCCAATGGAAGTAAGTGCCATGACAAGGAAGTAAAAGACAAATCCCTTCAATCCAGTAAACCCCAAAATTCCGGCAACAACTCCACCAATTATGGACATAAATGTTCGGCTGCAAAAGAAACCATGAAAGGCATCTTCGTTTAGTATTACTCACGTCACCAAAGCAACATATTTCCCCCTCCCCTTGCTCCATGACTAATCTGTATATATACCTCTCATGCACTCTGGTAATTGTTTCTTACAAGTAAAGCCATAAAATGCAACTCACACTTAGAACACCATCCCAAACATGATGCTTCTAGTCATATGTGTGTTTTTAGATAAAGAATTCAACTTATCTACAGGAAAAGGTCAAAACAAACCTGTAATAGATAGTTTTCATGTTTTGTTGCAAATTCTCCGCATTGAAGGTCGGTAAGTCATTCACTCCATTGCCTGATTTCTTCTCTGATGAACTTGAGTCAATATGTCCACCCATGATATCTGACTTGTCTGATTTGAAAAAGGGTACCTGAAAAGAGTAATAGAATTGAATCCTTCTGGAGAGAGGCAGACCAAACATACAATAAATCTGATGAACTACAAAGGCATGGACTTCAATTCAGGGAGACATACTAAGAAGAAAGAAACTGGCGTCAAGGTTTTGTTGAATTCCACTTGATTATACTATCTTCAACAAATAAATACCCAAATTAAGAATTTATCAACTATAGAGACACCACTGTATGTCAAATGGCAGCGAACCTAAAGAAATCAAACTTGATTCCTAAACCCGCCATTCAAACAGTGATATCACAATTTTTGTTCTAGATATAAGATGCACGATTGGTTGTTTCTGTCAATAGCTTCTAAATTCACAGCAGCACGAAGTGATTAAAAATCAAGCTTCTAAATTGCCAGACACCAATAGAGTCAGGTCATTTACCAGATCCTGCATCACAAATACCCTAAAAACGGTCTAAATTGGTGATAATATGAAGAGATTAATAAACAGAATGTAAGTCAGTAGTCATAAAAAATGAAGAGGGCGGAAATATAATAGCCAATTACACTCCATCCAAGCAAAAACAAGGAATCTCAAAGTTAACAAAATTTAAGCTCAATCTGTAAGGTATCCAAACGATTACACGACTGGATTCAAAGCCAAATTAAAATGACGCATTTCAAACAAAGCCAAAAATAAACGAGGCGACGGTGTCCGACACAGTGTTGACAACCACGCAGGGAACCGATGACGTAGGGAACAATTCAAATCTAGAGTGAATCTCACCGGATTTTGGTGGAAGACAAAGCACTATGGTTCGAATCCTCTTCAATACTTCCCGGAGAACAACCACGCAGCGCTGACAACGGTGGATAGCGTCCGCCGGCGAGCTCGACCAAGTGCCGAATGCTTGTTCGTCGACGAAGAATATTGGATCTGCTCCTTGTCCGAGATTGTATTTTGTTGGGCTTATAGTCAATTTTATTAATTAATTTTCTATAAGTTCGTTATTATTTTGGACTTCGTTTGCATCGCTAGCTCTCATATGGGTTTCCGCCCAGAACGTGGCTGCCCTCATCTAGGACATTTTATTCATCCCTCTCAGCTCCTAACATGAAAATTAGATAGGAAAAATTCGGAATAAATCTCTCATTACAAATTTAATTAGCAAATAGTTTCTAGAATGATTGATTACAAAAAAAAAGATTAGTTGCAAACAAAAGAAGGTAAGTCGCACAAAGAGAAGATGGTTTGTACAAAATTATTTGAATATAAAAAATTAGTTTGAACACAGAGAAGATGACTTACACATAAAAAAATTTCATTTATAGAAAAAAAAATTGAGTTGCACATTTCACAAAAAAAGATTATTGCATATAAGAAAAAATAAATTACATACAAAGAAAGTTATGTTGCATACAATAGAAATTAAGTTGTATGAAGTACTTATATTCCATTTGCTAATTAAATTTTTAATAAAGAATTTATCCCTAATTTTTCCAATTAGATAATTACTTACACAAATTTTTAATATAATAACTAATTAATTAATTTAAAAATATTAAAAAATTAGTTAAGATGGTTAATTGTCACATGTTGGTCTCCCAAAAATATCATTTTCAATTATGCGCATTGGATGATTGAAATTATTTCTTAGTGGAAACCCATTATAATCAATAGGAATATTTTTTTAAAAAATAAAAGATGATATAGATTGATGTCTTATATTTAAGACTAAATATAACTCCTAACTAGTTTTTATATTAAGAATCGAAAATCATAATTTATAAATATTGACCAATGAGAGGGGCTAATCCCTCATAACATGAAGAACTAAATTTTAAATTGACGTTAGGAGAGGTACTCATATTTAATATATAATTAAAAAATAATAAAACTTATAAATGTGAGCGAGAATTAAGTTACAAAATTAATGAAAGAGTAAAATAGTAAATGTGAGGTTATTTGGGTAAAGATGAAGATGAAAAGAGATAATGACATCCCCGTAACCTATGACATTCATATCACTCCTAATGGCATGCGCATTATATGAGAATTTGCCTCGTCAAAAGAGTTCAATTACGACCTGTGGGACGAAAATTAAAAAAGAAATATGCATAATTTTTTACCACACTACTCACTACTACATCATTAAAAATATCTTTTTAACTAAAACCCAAGCTAAGGACAAGAGGGGAAAAAATACAGCACAATTGATATGTTTGTGGTTGAAAAGTTCGACAAACTTTTCACACATTGTAAAGGAAGGAATTTGATAAATAAATCTATTAGATCTTTATTGGAACAAATTTGCTGGATATTGATTTCACTATCCCTTTGAAAATGATGAATGAAAAAGAATTTTGATAAAATATATTTTGTTTTATCTCATCTAATGTGCCCTTCTTTTAGTTGTGTAATTGAATCAGCATTACATTCATGTAAAATTGATTCCTGTGTGATATATTATCAATTTTAACCATATATATTTTTAACTTGCGCTATGTATCATTAGAATTTCTGCATGATTAAATAATATAGTTGATATAGTTTGTTTTATAAATCACCATAAAATAAGTGTACCGCCACACATAAACAAATGCTCTGTTTCTGAACAGTATATTCGTCTCCATGTGGATAAAAACACAACAAATGAGGTCTAATTCATTCATAAAATTAAGTAAACTTCATCATTATTTTCTTGCTTGGTGGAATCTTATTCTCATGACGATTATCACATGTAGCATAGGAATACAAAGTAACATAATTGGTAAACTTAGTCACACTTAGAACGTAGTAATTCCAAAACATGTCTTAGAAACAAAGGCTTTATTATTTTTTTGTCTTATAAGCATATTATATAGGATCTATATATTATGCCCTATTGGTAAGTAAAGATTTGGCAATACGACCATCCCCACCTTTAGGATGAAAACCACCTGGGACACGTTCATCACCAGTACCATAAACAATCCTTAAAACTTCCTGGGGCTGTCTAGGATAAGCCACTGAGGTATCATCACCTGCGAGAATGTTGCCAGAAATTTTGCCTTCTGCTCCAACAGAATTGGCTACCACAAGTCCTTCATCTTTCATACCCATTTTCCCTAACTTGTCTCGAAGCATAGAGATCCTGTTTGTGAACTCTGCAACGCTCACATTATACGGATTCACAACTTCATCTTTGTGCTGATATAGTAATGTTCGGATTACTGCATCTTGCCCTGACTCTACCCCCAAAAGTCCTGCCACTAGCTGTACATATACACAAACACGCATAATGTCAATTCAAAAAGCAGTTTTCAATCCTAATTCATGAAATACGAGACAAATATGTAAGAGGAGTTTTATTTTGATTCACGTGAAAGTGCTTATAAACACTTAGATAGGCAAGTACAAACAAGCAATTAAGTAGACATAGGTTTTATGTACTGTAGGAAGCTTAAGAAATAATGTACACTACTCATTACTTAATAGTAGTATGTCTTTTTGTAAACTATATGATCACCTCATGCCCCTAATATAAAAAATAATTGACTAATTTGAGGATATTAATAAAGTTAAATAAATTACTTGATTATAGCATATGTCACTATATGATTTCTTTAAAATACTTACGTGTATCGTTAGATTATGTATGTGTATATTAATTTATAAGTTAGATAAATTAGTTTGGAGAAAAACAATAACTAAAAATACTTTAAAATGATGTATTTAGCTTTCTTGATTTTTTCAAATTAGTCAATTAGGTCTTATATTAAGAACCAAAGTGGATTGTATTAGTCTTTAGAGATTCTATTACATAAAAACAATATATTGGCATTATTAGTCCCAAGTGGCCCATTTTTAGGTGAGATAATGACCACTCATTTTATCAAGGCTAATTAGGTCATTTCACTAAACTTAATTTCATGACATTCCCTAAAACTTTCATAGGAGGTAAGCAATTTTCAGGGACAATTTTGAGATTCTCATATTTTAGTGGTGCATACATATATTTCATTCTAAAATGTGCAACATAAATGATAATCTAAAATTTCATTTTTGAAATGGACAAATTGAATATATACCTCCTTGGAAGTTTCATTTTGGAGCAAGTGAGCAGCTCCAACATAGCCAGTAAGGCCAACATAAGGAATGACGTAGGACGCAAGCAAGTAATTAATAGAATTAGCATAAGGATCAAAAGGTGGATTGAGAGGTTTTCCAAAAGCATTGTCCATTATTGTTGCAAATGCTTCACTGCTCAAATTCAATAATGGCCTTGGAAACCCTTTCACTTTGCTCAATATCGCCCTACAATAATAACACATTCAATTTCAAATATTATTATTATTATTATTCAACAAGTAAAACATTTAAGAAAAAAAGTTAATTTATCACAATTTTGACTCAAATTCTTATAGTTTACTTTGCTTGAATTACGCCCTTATAGTTTGATTTGTTATAAGCATTCATCTTTGAGTATAAAACTCATTAATTTTAATTTATAAAAATTCATGAACTTTATGAAATATCTTTTATTTTATTTAATGCTGTTTTAACACCATTGCATTTCTCTAAATTAAAATTACCGAATCAAACAATAAGGCTGAATTCAAACAAAATAAGCTACACAAACCTGATTTAAAATTAAAAATATGTATAAACAAATTAATTTTTTAATATTTAATGAGAGAAGTTATAACTGTGGAGATCACAAAGATGTAAAGATAGAAAATACCTTAAATGCCCAACTTCTTGATAGCCAAATTGCAAGATAATATCCTTAGTGAGAGGATCAAGGTTGGCTAATTTTGCACCACTGGGTAATGGGCCGCCTTGGGCCAACTTTGGGTCAATAGCATCAAGCCCAGAGCCCAAAGCCCCATACAAAAAGAACTCAGCTTCCAGAAACTCCAAATTCAAAGGGAATTCAAGCAAATCATTATCATTGAAATCTAATATTGCAGGCTCTGCGAACACATTGAAAGAAGGAGAACTTGGAAGGAACAAGGAGGCTATGAAAAGAGTGAAAGAGATAGAGATGAAGTGTTTGCCAAGAGCCATTTGTGGGAGAGAAAAATATGGTGAACTTGTAACTCACTTGAATTGCACTATATTCCTGTTTGTGAGGCTATATTTATACACAAATGAAAGGTGTTAAGGAGGGTTTGGTGCATGTAACTCAAATAAACGATAGGACATACACCCTGGCATGTAATAAATCATTATCATTAAACCTTATCTTGTTGATTTAATTAAATGCATATGCAGAGGAAAAATTAATTATTTGATCCTTATAGTTTGGATTCAGTTAAAATTCAGTTCTCTGACCTCTGATTTGGTGTAACATAGTACTACCTCCGGTCCTTAATATAAAATCCTGTTTGATTTTTGTTTTGGTCCTAAATATAAGACCCCAATCTACTTTGTCTCTCATATTTATATTTTTTTCCCCAAAGTAACCCTTCTAATAATAAGAGTTCTAGTCGATATATTTGATTAACAAGGATATTTTAGGAAAGACAACACATATTTATGACAAATAACTAACCCAATTTATTTTCTTAATCTCCTCAAATTAGTCAACTAGCTTTTATAATTAGGACCGGAAGTAGTATCTATAGATAGTTTTGCTATTTAAAACATTAGCTCTTAAGTTTTTTTTTTGGAAAAAAAAAACTTTAGTCCTTGTAATTTGGTTCTTCAAATTTGGGGATTAACATTTTAAATGGTTAAGGCTACAAGAGTGGGTTGTCATGTGTGAAAGTTTAAGGACTAAGTTTCGAGACAAGTTAAAACTATAAAAACTAATTTGTATTAAGTTAAATTTTAATGATTGAATTATAATCAAGTTAAAACTTTAAAGACCAAAATAGCCAATTTTTCATATATATAAATAAATAAATTAGTAATGATGAGATGCGGGAATATGTTGATTTATTGCCTTTAAAGCATATATTTGATTCATCACATGACCAAACTTTAAAATCCTGTACGTACACTCTGTTTTGGATTTAAAGCACTTTAAAATATGAATCTCCAGATTCACAAAAATAAATGTACATGGTGTTCAATCTTTAATTTGTACATAATATGAATCATCATGACTTGTGGCACATACAGAATATGATTAATCAAGTTGCAAAATTATAGTTATAAATTACAATTAATGTGATGATCTCTAACTTGTTCATAAAAAATCACTGAATGATTCGATGAAACTGTGTTCTCAATCCATATATGATATATGTATATGAAGATCAAACATACGATAAAGTGTTTTTTCCCCCCCTTTTTTGAGTAAGAATATATCACACTTTTAATCCTTTGATTCTCTATGATACATTTGAGATAAAAAGCGTAATAAGTTTAGTTTCTTAATCTCAGTCTCTTTATTAATAATATTCTGTACCATTTTTTTATTTTAAAAAAACGATAATGTATATTAAAGAATTGAGACTTTTTTTTTTCCTCCATTAAACAAGTACCTTCTGTCAAAGACAATCCTGTCCTAAAAGTGAGTACCTCTAGCAACAAGAGAATTGGATTTGACCCTAAATAGAAAATCTTAAGGCACTGTTGTCTTGTGGATTAAATACTACCTCCGGTCCTAATTATAAGAGCCAGTTGACTAATTTGAGGAGATTAAGGAAGTAAGTTTAGTTAGTTATTTGTCCTAAATAGGTATTGTCTTTCCTAAAATATCCTTGCTAATTAAGTATATTGACTAGAACTATCATTGTTAGGAGGGTTACTTTGAAAAAAAAAAGTATAAATATGAGAGACAAAGTGAATTGGGGTCTTATATTTAGGACCAAAATAAAAGTCAAACAGGATCTTATATTAAAGACCGGAGGTAGTATTAAATTAAGATTATAATTAAGGATAATTTAAGGTTAAATTCGTTAACAAAATAGATATAAAGAGTACTACCTCTGGTTCTTAATATAAGAGTTAATTAACTAATTTGAGTAAATTAAGAAAATTAGTTAAGTTAGTTATTGGTAAGAAATATGTGTTTTTTTATAAAAATACTCTTACTAATTAAGTGCCATTTGATTTGATGAAACATCTAACATATGCAGTTACTACAAAGACTACCTTGAAAAAAATGAATAAATATGAAAAACAAAGTAGATTGGAGTTTTATATTTAGAACTAAATTAAAAGTCAAACTACCTCTATAAGAACTAGAAGTAGTATATTATTATTATTTGAGCTGATTAATATATGAAAGCCAGAGACATTATTATATGTGATTAATTAAGGATGTAAATTATTATAAGACTGAGCGATGCGACCATGTGCTCCTTCGGGATAGAAACCACCTGGGATACTCTCACTGCCAGTCCCATATACGATCCTTAATATTTGCTGAGGGGTTCTGCCATAAGAGAGAGAATTGGTGTTTGCAGAGAGGACATTGCCGGAGACTTTGCCCTCAGAACCTTCGTCTTTTGGGACGACAAGACCTTCGTCCTCCTTCAAACCTGCGTTTCCTAGTCTGTCTCGAAGCTTGGAGATACGGTCTGTGAATTCTGCTACAGTTATGGCGTATGGCGCGACGAGTTCATGCTTACGCTCATATAATAATGCTCTTGTTACTGCATCTTGCCCTGACTCGACTCCCAGAAGCCCAGCTACTAGCTGCACGTAGATTTTCATTTGAAATCAGTCTTTTCTAAAATCAAATATACTGTATTTGATATTGAAAACTAGAGTTTGGAGGTATTGAAAACCAGACCGATCAATATTAAACCGAACGAGTCATTAGTCTAATTGTGATTAAACTAGAGTTTACCCTGATTAAAATAATATAATATTGAAAATCGGACCCATCATTAAACCAAATGAGTTAGAGATCTAATAATGGTTATATTAGAAATAACCCAATCACGATTAAAATAATATAATATATATAACCATGAAAAGAGTAATACTTGAATAAAGATGTATTAATTCACAAGTAAATGGAATATTCATGTATGGATTAAACATAATATTCAATAAAACAAAATTATTATGTTAAAGCAGAAACTTGACTAACTGCTATTATTTTTAAAAAAATCAAAACGATGTTGCTTCATTCTCAATAAGAAGATAAATATATAAAATTATAATTTTCAACCCGCTTGATCTGTCCAAAATTCTTAACCAGATTAGTTAGAAGACTAATTTATCGGTTTGCATAACATGCTAGAATGTGTAGGTAATGCGGTAAGCCAAAATTTGAATTGGATAACATGAATACCTGTTTGGAGGTGGTATTTTGGAGCATAGGATTAGCTCCAACATAACCAGTGAGACCAACATAAGGAATCACATAAGTTACCAATAAATAATTAATGGAATTGGCATATGGATCAAAAGGTGGGTTCAGAGGTCTTCCAAAAGCCTTGTTCATTATTGTTGCGAACACTTGGCTGCTTATATTTAGCAATGGCCTTGGAAATCCTTTTACTGTGCTTTTTATGGCCCTGCAATATCATAATCACCACCAAACTTGACAACATTTTATAATAAACATTTCAAAGAAAAATGAAAAAATCCCAAAACAAGTCCTTGGAATATAGAAAATTCCTGATTGAGTCCTGGAATTGTGTAGATGACAGAAATGATCAATGACTTAATCTGTCATTTGTAAAATCAAGAGGAATTGACAACTTTATCTTGATTAGGCAAAAATGAGTAGTTATTTTCTAAACGAATCTAGATAATACTTACACCGTTCTAATGATTATATGATTAGTTATAGTTAATAACAAGGCAACTTCTCAAGGGGCATTCCTGACTACAAAAAAATAAGTAGTTATTCTCTACACGAATCTAGGTAATGCTTACACTATTCTACTGATTACATGATCAGTTGTTGTTAATAACAAGGCAACTTCTCATGGGGCATTCCTGACTACGAAAAAATGAGTAGTTATTCTCTACACGAATCTAGATAATGCTTATACTGTTCTACTGATTACATGATTAGTTGTAGTTAATAACAAGGCAACTTCTCATAGGACATTTTTGACTACGAAAAAATAAGTAGTTATTCTCTACATGAATCTAGATAACTCCTAAACCCTTATAGTGATTCCTTAAATTACTGTAGTGAATGAATACAAATGAAGCAAAGTTGTAAATTCTTTTTGATTTTACAAATGACAGATCAAGTCATTGATCCTTTATGTTATTTACATAATTTTAAGACTCGATCAGGAATTCATTATATTCCAAGGGCTTTTTCTAGGATTTTTCCAAGAAAAATTCATTCTTTTTTTTCCAAATAAAAATATTTTAAAGTATTTGGAAAATCATTTTGCAAGTATGTACTAAATTTTCAATTTAGTACATATATTATTTTCTCTCTTTATTAAATCTTTTAATTTTGCTCAGGATTGTTAGTCATGCAAAATAAAGGGAGAAAAATTGTAGATATCAAATTAAAAATTAAAATATATATAGGTACATGGAAAATAACAATTATGGAAATTACCTCAAATGCCCAACTTCCTGCAAGCCGAATTGCAAAATAATATCTTTAGTGAGAGGGTCAAGTTGGGCCAATCTACCCCCAATTGGTGATGGGCCTCCTTGGGCAAGATCTGGGCTAGCTATATCCAGCCCATAGCCCAAAGATCCAAACAGAAAGAACTCAGCCTCCAAGTACTCTAAATTTAGAGGGAACTCAAGAAGATCTTTGTCACTGAAATAACTTGCTGCACTCGCAAAAATTTTAGAAGAATAAGACTTTGGGGCAAACAAGGAAAGGAAAAAAGAAGTGAACAAAACAACGTTGGAAATAGTGATAAAGTGCTTGTGAAAAGCCATGGTGATATTGAGAAAATTTGTAAACTGATTGAATGAATCTGTTCTTTGTTTGTGCAATTATATATAGGCAAGATGATAATTTCAAAGTGGGGTTGGAGTGCAAAAAATTCAAACAAGTGATAAATACAAGAGTAAATGTGTGATAAATGAGTATTTATTACGTGTTGCATTTTTTCTTACATCCAATTCAAATTGAATATAACATTTTTTTTAATATAAGAGCTAAATGACTAATCTGTAAATATTAAAAAAATTAATTAAGTTAATTATTTATAATAAGTAAATATTATCTTTCTTAAAATACTCTTATTAATCATATGCATTTGAATTATTTCTTAATAATAACTTTTTATCATGTGCAATTACTATAAAAATTAGTTAACGACAAAATGAATAAATTATAAATATTAGAGATAAAGTGTACTAAGATCTTATATTTATCAGGTACAATTTGGTGAATCCCAAAAAGCACTTAGAAAAATATTTTCATGCTAGCCGAGACAAAATTTATCTCATACATCATAAAATTACTTCTAAAAAGTTAATCCAAACACTCCTTAACTAAATTAAATATTGAATTAGCTTTTACATTAAGATGCGGAGCTCATAATATTTATTGAAAATGGGGAAGGATTGTGCATCTCGTTGAAATGTTTGAAAGTGTGGGGATAACTTGTAATCAAAAATCATTTTGCTTTATTTTAGCCAAAAAAAAAACTGTTATACCAAATTGCTAGCCTCGCTCTATAAATGCCCAGGTGTTTTGTGTTGTAATTTAGAGGGAAAAATTAATCAAGTGAAGTATTTATTATTCACACAACAACAAAGTTTGCAAATTACTAATTTTTCGTGCCGCTTGAAACAAGTATTATGATAGTGTGACATGAACATCTAATAATTTATTTAGTGTAAATAAATGTAATTTAAGTCTCAAGATATCGTTATTTTTTAATAGATATAATTATCTTGTTATAAATATATCGGTTTAATGTGATGACATGATCATTTCTAAGGTTTGCCGGCCAAAATGATCATTTCTAATGTCATCGTGCTTCAAATTTGATATGGCATGAGCGAAACAAATATGATTCATGGGTGTTGATGATGAATATTATTACCACAACAATCACATATATGATGCATATTATTACCACAACAATCACATATATCATCTTGATAAATGTTCACAAAGTTTGGTGTGTTGATGACAATTATGTAAATATTCCTTATACTATCGAGATTCTACTCGTATGAGACCAAAGATCTTACTCCAGGGCCACTTGGATATTGTTTTTTTCTTTTCCAGTAATAAAATTTTAGGTAAGGGGTTGGCTCAAGCCAAGGACAAAAAAAAGACTAGTTTGTCACATATAGCCCAGTTGCCTAAGAGTCACACCCTACCCATTTGGGCTCTTGGCATGCCTAAGTCATTAGTTGGGATAGAATATTAACAATGTGAGAATTATCAGTAAGAGTTGAGTCTAGCAGAAGGATCTTGTCCCTCACAACATGGAGAATTAACTTCAAATTACATATTTTACCTGGTTATAAATATACCTCCCCGATTGTCACAATAATCTTAGAAATTAAATCACTTCCTTTAATGAAAGTGTCCAACCCTTTAAATGCTGAACTTTTGGAACAATGGGGTCACTTGGATAGTTCTTTATACCAAGATCATTACTCTTGTTCCACTTTAGCCATACCTGGAAGTTACTTTTCTAGTCCTATTTATAAGACAGATATAGAGAAATTTTTTTGGTGATATTTATAGAGTAGAAAAAGCAAATTTTCATATGAATATACAATTCTATCATTCATTTATTATTGAGGTCCTTAATATAAGATTTAATTAACTAATTTGAATAAATTAAAAATGTTAGTTAAATTAGTTAATATGATGTGTTCTTTTTCCTAACATACCCGAAGCATTTTTCTTAATTTCCTCCCTTCATCTTCTACTTGATTATTGTTGGGAGAATATCAATAGGATTAATTGAGAAAAAATTGATAAGCATATGAAATAAATATTATATATAGAACTAACATTAACTTCCCAATTAGTTCCTACATTAAGGACCGGATGAGTATATTAAATGAGGATAAAGTTGAAAAGTTATTAAATTTTAAATAAAGTTAATAAAATTTAGAATTTTTATTAGTTTATGTGAAATATGTTTAAATAATTTGTAAATAAATTATATGAGTAGATCACAAAATACTCCTTTTACCTGCAAGTTGTGACTATGTGCGTTGGGACTCCACTGATTCAAAAGCCATAATTGGCATTTATGAGTGTTGGCGGTAATATTCATGAATATTTATCCAAATTAAAAATTCTTAAAATTTCAAAATTAATACTAGTTTGGCAAAGAAGTACCTATAGGTGGAGTTAGATAGGGAGAACCTTAATCCTTTACCAGCATTTAAGGCCAAAAAGAAAAAATAAGACTCACTTTATGATATAATTTATATTTTACACTATAAAGTGGATCTTATATTTAGAATAGAAGGAGTAATTGACAAAAATTCCCACGCAAGTCCAAATTGAAAGTTCCATGACAAGTTGAAAATTTTGGAACGCCTAAATTAAAATAATATTCAATTTTTTTTGCCAGCTAAAATAATATTCAGTTAAACAATCTTTTTTTCATTTTCATTCTTGTAGAATTTCCAACTTGTATGCGTTGTTTTTTCAACTTAATTTTCAACCTTCCTTTTCAAATTGGCGAATGAAAACAAAGAATGTCTAATGCAAAAACTTCGAATAACAAGCTCCGTTATTTATAGTAAATGGGTATGAGTTGTTATAAATTTTATACAATATTAAATCTTTAATATAAGACCTAGTTTGATAGTTAGATTTTAATTATAAATATAATATCTTAATTTATCTTGTTTTTTAAACTTATAATTTTTTTCAAAATATTTTCAAGAATAATTTAACGAAGTTAATGCATACTTGTTACATCTGATAAACAATTTATCTACTTCTTTTAATATTTGTAATTAATTATTTAGTTTTTATACTAAAAATCAGAGATAGTATATATATTAATAAATGAAAATATTAAAGATGCTTGTCTATTCTTTTTTTTCCTGTATTTTTATCGGTTAAAACAAAAAAAAAGGGGGGGAAATCAGAATACATGCCCCTCGCTATCTTACAATCAAATTGGACTGTTTCTGACTTTCTGTTTGCAATTAAACGACATATTATCCCACAAAACCCTTGGATTTAGTGACATCTTACCCTCTCTTTTGAGAGAAACGTCGCGAGTTTAAATTCGTGTTTGCATGTTGAAATTTCATCTCTCCAACCAATTTGCAAATATTTATAAAATTAATTAAATTGATTATTTATAATAAATATGTTTTGAATTCTCTAAACCACAATCTTTAATTCTATACATTATATTAAAATTACTTCTTGGTGAGTAGATTGAAGTCTAATCTTACCTTAATTAACTCTTATATTAAAAAGTAGAAATAAGAATCATTTTATTTTTTATTATAAGAATCTGCTAACTAATTCAATCATACTAATAAAAATGGTTAAAAATATTAAACTTGTCATAAAATTCAAGTGATTTCTAGTGTTATCCTTATTAACTATATTAAATTTTAATATAGTATTAATTTCTATTCTCTTATTACCCTTATTAAATATAAGCATATATATGAAAAAATATTAATACTTGTTGAAACTATTAAGGAAAAATCTTTTTGGAGGCACCTATACTTTTTTTGAAATTTTTTTTTAATTTCGTACTTATATGTTTTTTTCCTCTTAATTAAATCTTTAATTTTGGTCTATTAATATAGTTCTTGTATGGAGACTAAAAATATTGATAGAACAAATTACAAGAGTTAACATTGCTAAAAAATAAAATAAAATTAAATGATTTAATTAAGAAGAAAAAGACACATAGGTATTAAATTAAAAATTGAGAGAAAATATATCTACTTTTAATTGGTTTTCCCAAACTATCAAAAGTTCTTATGAAAATAAAATAAAATAAAATGTCCCCCATAATGAGGACAGGAACTATATGATGATATCCTAATATTTTTATCAGTCATAAAAACCTTGCAAGGTGGCGTTTACTATTTAGTCCACTTTTACACACTTACAATTACATTACTTTCACTCTTTCAGTTTCAACCAAATCATTATTGTGAACATTTTCTCACCCACTCATTTTGGAAATTGGAAGACCCTGAAAGGAGACAAGCCTTCTCTAATTGATCAGATTCAAAAAATCATTTGACACGGTAAGGAACCATATAACACCCAATCCACCAAATATGATCAAGGCTCAAGATTTAGTATTTGCATAAAACCATCGAAGCTTACGCCGTCGCTTCGGTCACCGCCGCCGCCAAGTGCGATCATATCGTCAATATCTTGGTCGGTGACGGCGATCCCAGCCCACTCCATGAAGCTTTTCAGATCCTTGTGGCTGAGCTTGCCGTCGCCGTCGTGCTTGTTCATGACTCTAAACACTTCCTTCATCACTCCGCCGCCGCAACCGCCACAGACTGCTATTTCCAACATGCGCGCGAACTCTTCATACTCGACGAACCCGTCTTTGTTGGTGTCCGCCGCCGTCATCATCGACCCGATTGTGTCGTCGTCTACTTCATGGCAAAACCTGTGGTAGAACGATTGAAGGTCATTGCGGCTTATTCTTCCATCATGATCGACATCGAGCACGTCGAATGCTGGTCGGAATGGTTCATTAATGGCGGCGGAGGAAGAGGAGGAAGCATGGTGGTGAGAACGGAGGTTCCGGCGGGAAGGACCCATTTTAGAAAGAAAAGTGTGCGTAGCGGAAAATGTCCAAATCCTTATTTTACTGAGCCCATTTCTCATCTTCTCTCCCTCTGCGTTTCCTTTTATTCTCATTTTACGAGAGATGTGGGGCCCAATCCCATATCTCATTTTTTTCCTCCAAGCACGAGTTTTGGAGGAAAAAAGAAAAAGATTTTTGAGTTGAAAATATGCTTTTTAATTATTTATACTACCCTAATTGTTATTATAAGATACCTTTAATCACCTCAATAAAATTAATGGGAGATTATCAAATTATTAACTGTTTCTAAAAAATAAAAAATTAATAAATTTATCCGTATTTATTTACCACCCTAAATTACATTCAATAAGATCTAAAATTGGTAATTAATAAAGTTTTAGAATGGAAGAAGAAGCATTATACTACCTCTCGTCCTAATTATAAGATCTCGTTTATACACTACAAATGAGATCTTATAATTAAAAACAGAGGTAGTATTTACTTGCTCATCATTTTTTTATAATTTAGAATTTAGTGATGATTTTTAACATTCTAAATCTTTCACATCCAAATTACACGTCAAGCAATAGCATCAAGAGGAAAAATCCTCAAAAAGATGTTCAACAAGACTAGCATAATTTTATTCAGTACATTCAATTTTCTCACACACCAAAAAAAAAAAAACAAAAGAAAACATATATATTTATAGATTTCAAGAGGCACTGAGAAGCTCAAAGTCATGAGAAGAAGGCATGGAAGTTCCAGAAAGGAAGGCTCTGATGAGAGTGAAAGCATATTTTGGTTTGTGCTTGGCAATCTCATGCCCTGCCCCTCTTACTACCACAAAAGTCACCCCTTCATATTCCTCTGTCCATCCTCCCACCTGTTCACAAGTCTCAAACATTTATGACACATCAATCATATACAATGTCAAGGGTCATTTTTATTCTTAAAGTATTTACAAAGAAGTTATGGATATTTAAAAGTTTTTTTTGAGTTAATATATCCTTTCAGTTAAAAAACTAATATTGACAGTTAAAAGTTATAAGGGTGATATTGCTTACTTTTTAATACTTCTTGAACAACATTGAGTCAAAACAAACTTTTGAATATCTCAGATCTTCTGTGAATACGATAAAAATGACCCTTAACCTTTATATGCACGCATATAATTTATCACTTCTTTAGATTACATCTTTCAATATAGATATACTTTTACCTGCCCATTGTCATACCAAGGACGCCAAGGGCTTACACTTGGAAGCTTCAGAGCATTTAGACTGTAGCGAGTGGATGTCACTGGAAGCACAGAATCTGTATCACCACTGTCATATGGCAAAAGAAAAATCAAACATCAATGGAAATGAAGAGGAATATTCATGCAATTATAACTCTATTCTTAGGCAGACTTTTTAAGTTTCATTGCAGACTAACCTGAAAACCCAAATCCTCAGTCCTGCCTGAACAAGTTCTTGATAAATATCAAGCACTGTCACTGGAGAATCTTTCCAGGTTTTACTTACTACGTCACTGCAAAATATTTGAGAGAGAGCAAGGCACACTTTACATTTCTACATCCCAAAGCAGAACATAGAAGAAGTTCCCTCAAATCGGCACCAATAATTTTTCTCTAAAAATAGTTACTTTAGTTGTAAGTATTCTCAAAATTTCAGCTTGGAACTACAATATAACTTCATACAGAAAGGATGTCACAAAAGTCTTAGTTAATAGTTAAAAAGGGGAAATTTCATGTCACTTAATAAATGAAGATGGATTCGGATAAATCACATGGGATGTCTGAGAACATTTGGTGTTTAATGGGAGATGTTGCATGGGAATATATATATATATATATATATATAAAATATGCCCTCTTGATTGCTACCCTATTGATCATAAAATACCTGCAGGTTTTCCATTTGTGAGGTTTATGAGCTGGATCAACATGAAGAGCCTTTTGAACCTCAGGTAAATTAAAGTACACAGTGGTGTGCTTCGATGCGCAAGGATCGAATGGCGCTCTGAGCCTGCCAATTCTCTATAACATAGCATTAAAATTATCAGTTAGAAATGTCTCATAATCATCTAGTTAATCATGTTCTCACTTATCTGATATATCTGATTTTAGGTAGAATTCCCAACCATCTCTGCAGTGTATTGACAAACTTTAATACTGGGATGTGTTTTATGACTCATGGGGCCAATAGAAAAGCTGATTATGATTTTGCAGTAAAATGACTTCAATAAGAGGAAATCAAAATGCTACAGTAAAATTTCATCGTTTAAGAAGATTCCCATTCACAATTTTTGTTGTGTTTGAAATGAGAAGATAAAGAAAACAAGTAGAGAATCAATGAATAGTATTAACAAGGTACGCTTACATGAGTTCTTTTTGCCAGCAGGTTTGTTTGGCTAACATTAGAAGGGCATGGAGGAGTAAAAATACTGTACTGATCAAGGTTGCCAATTTCTTTATCAACAATGTCTAAAACTTTCTGACATGAATCTGAAGGATGCACGAAAGGCTCAAGATTGCATTTAATGTTCAATATCTCGTGTGTTTGATCTGAAATCAAACCAGAGGTCCATAAAAACTGGGCAACTCCCTTATGATCATTGTAATCATCAGTTAGAGGATTTCCTACCTTCAATAGACACAGACACATTTATATTATTTACTGCCTTAAGCAGATCAGCAAAAAGAAATCATTCTCATGAAGACACAAAAATCTATACCAAGTAGCCTTTCAGATTGATGCATTTATCTTTGGCTCTCTTGTTGTGCTTCAGAATAAGTTGGCTAAGTTGAGGGACATAATGCCCTGAAACACAGGTCTAACAGTTGATTCATACTAAGATATCACAGGAAGACAAAGTCTATATGAAAAAAAAAAAAGAGTACAACCAAAACATTTTACATGCAACTGCACCTCATCGATTTTTTTTTTTTTTTGGTTGGGCAGTATCCCCTAACTGGTAGTTAGAGACTAATCCTCTTGAAGAGTAGAGACCATTGGAAAGGGCTTTGCGTCTTCCAAACAAAGTTCTTTTCATGCAAACGGTCTGGTTTGAGCTCAGAACATCATTTTTAAGGGACCCAACCGTCTACCAATTGTGTTGGACTTTGTTGGTATTGATTTTATTTTCTTATGTTAGGAACTTGGGAATAATTTGAGAGATTTGTGAAGTAAAGTGCTGGTGGTCAAACTGGTCAAAGGTTGACAATGTAATTTCATGCTGTCAGCCCATGATTCTCAAAGACATGTTAGGTTCTAAGCCCTTTCTGAAAGACGCATTATGGAGTTTCACTTACCTGCATAACTCTCACCAGATATAAAGAAATCTCTTCCTTTATACTGAGGAAATCGCTCCAACCACTTCAATAGGAATTCCAAAGAATCCATAGCTGCCAATGAAATAACATTAAACTTGAGTCTCGCAATACACGCACACACATGTATGTATGTATGTATGTATTCCAAACCAGAAAGTATGAGGTCCTAAACTATTAGACTCATACCAGTCCTACTATCGCATTGTTCTTTATGTCCGACAGAGTCTTTGAACATGAAAATCCAACTCCAACAGGAGAATCAACAAAAAGAAGGTTGGCAACTATAAAACAAACACAAAAAATAGTTAGACTGACACATCTGCATTTACCAAATTGGCACTCTGCTAATAAGAAAAAAGTTCATGATGAGCATAAGTAAGATACCTCGAACGACCAATAAAGGGATGAATCTATGAGGGGATTCAAGAAAATATAAACAATCTTGTAGGTTGTTGCGTCTTTATTTAATTACCTCGATTCCAAGAGTAAGGATTTAGATAAAGTGTCTTGCCACCTGGCTTAATGCGAAAGGGACCAATTTCATTTGCTGCCCCCAATCCAATGGATGAACATCCAGGTCCTGCGTAGAAGACAGAAATTTTCACAACCTTAAAAAAACACAAGTGTGAAACGAAGGAAACACCTTAACGAACATAAAAAGAAGCAATGCTTTTGAGTTTTAACCTCCATTGAGCCATAGAAGGAGGGGCTTAGTTTCAGGTTCTGAGGCAGCTTCAAAGAACCGGTAAAACAGTGCCCTCCCAGCTTCCTGGTTCACTTTGACATACCCAGCGTAATGTGCAAAATTGACGTTAAACTCTTGACCCGCAAGCCACTCTACCCGGTCTTCTTGTTGCTGGACAAACGGGTCTGAGGAAGAAGATAAAGCAAACCCAGTATTCCCCTGAAGGCACAGATACAGAGTGGTAACAACTATGGCTAAAAGTTGAGAGAGAAGAGGAGAGAAGTTGGGTTTTGCCATTGAAAGTAGGACAAAGGACGATGAATATTTGGTGCGTACAGTGTTCCCTCAGCTTTAAATAGAGTAGGATTTCGTTATGCCAATCATGATGCATGCATGCCTGTTTTGTACCCAAATCCTTTTGTTGTGCCACCTAGTTTTGTCTGCACTCCTTTTGTTGTGCCATCACTTTTCTCTGCATGCCGCTTTTGAAAGTGAAATTTAAGGGATGAAGTGCTTCATAATAATTATTTTAAAAGTCGCCCATCAGAGATAATTTCAAATTAATCCCTTTATATGTGTCTCTCGTATGAAAGAGTTATATACTTAGCTATATTCTTTAGAAATGATACTCAAATCCATACTACTGAATAGAAAACAACTCTAATAAGAAAACAAGCAATACCCCTTCAACCAAATTGCAACTAACAGAACCTACTCATAAAACACATGAGAAATATATTCTGAGGGGAAAGATTTTCGATCAAGTCTGTTTGCTAAAACTTTGTAATGGATTAATGAAGTTGTAATGGCCAGTTAGATTTTGGAAAGAAACGATGGGCCACAGGAATTAATGTAAAGTCTAAAAAAGACTTCATACCTCCACCATCAAAACGAAATTTAAAAAAAAAAAAAAAGGGTCATATGTAGTGAAGGAAGAGAAAGATGGTGGTGTAGGCAGATAGGGTCACCAGGCCACAGTGGGCTGACTGTGCAGC